GCTTTAAAATAAACATTTGGGTGATTTTTTTTTACATTTGTGTTTATTGTGAAGTTGGTCTTGAATTTCCTTTCAAGTGTCATTAAAAATCATTAAAAATTCTTAGATTTAACTTGCCTTAAGCTGTAGGAACCCTGAACCAAGGATTAGGTCATAAATTGTTACATGGAGAAACAGGCAGCTGGTGAATTTAGTTCTGTTCACACCAACTGCCTTTTGTCAAAAATATTATGAATTAATACCTTATTTATGGATTATTTGAAAAATTAAATATCTGAAATATAATCTTAAATAATTTGAAGCCCAGTTTTGAGAAGTAGCTACAAAAAAAACCCTTAATTTTAAGCAGAAAAACCTTTAAATGTATTTTCATCTTCACTTCAAGCCAACCAAGCTTGTTATTCTTTCCAGCTGGTAAATATCCAAACATTGTTGGAGGTTTCCTCTTTAAAATGATGTCAAATTTTTCTCATTACCCCAAAAATTAGTTCAGACCAAATATCAATGAGTTATCATGGTTAAGAAGAAGAATCAAAACGTATCTGGATCCACTCATCAGATYAGGATGATCCAGGTATCAAAATGTARCTTAWAAAGCAGGAATCTGAAACGTGCTGAGGTCATTCTGACTTAATTTGACTTAATCCTCAGTTTGAAGTGATGGGTCACATATATCTGTATCGCTGCAGTTGCTCAGTTGGAGTTTTGTGTTGGCCTCAGGCTCTGACGGCGCTGCTTCCAGTTATCATGTGAAGCAGCTGGAGGAGCAGAACAGCCGGCTGAAGGAGGCTCTGGTCAGGTAGGTGTGCTGGTCACTGAACCCACCTCTCATCCATTGAATCAAGCTGATCCTGGGATGAACTGCAGCGTCTCTGCTGTTTATCAGGATGCGCGACCTCTCTGCATCCGAGAAGCAAGAACACGTGAAGCTGCAGAAGCAGATGGAGAAGAAGAACCTGGAGCTGGATTCTCTGAGGAGCCAGAAAGAGAAGCAGCAGGAAGAGGTGAAGGCGGCAGAGAAAACCATCGATGAGCTGAAGGAGCAGGTCAGAGCTTTGATGAGAGGAATATTCTCTGAGGCTCTTTGTTATCCACGAGTCTGCTAACAGAGAGATGACGTGCTCCGTCGCAGGTGGATGCAGCTCTGGGTGCAGAGGAGATGGTGGAGACGCTGACAGAGAGGAACCTGGACCTGGAGGAGAAAGTCAGGGAGCTGAGGGAGACTGTCACAGACCTGGTGGGTCAGGTTTTACTGCGAGGCAACAATCAGAGCAGGAAAACAAACAGAAATAACTAAAAAGATATATAAAAAGTTATTTGTTTGAAGACTTGGAGAAATATTTTAGTGAACTATTTCACTGCAGGCATGCTTTTCTGAAAAGTTATAACATTTAAGTTAAGCCAGAATCTCTGGGCTGCGATCGTTGGAGACTATTTGAGACTATTTAAATTGAAAGAAAATAAAAAAGTGAATCTTCCATTACAGTCTCACTTAATTCTGTGTATCAATGAGCAGATAATAGTGAGCCATGCAACCTGGCACTGTTTTGAAAATCATGGTCTATTTTTATTTGCAAGCCTTGCAGAAGTTATGAGCGTTCATTGTCAAGTTATAATATTTCCATAGAGTTCTCAATTCTCAAAAATATACAGTTCTAAAGTTACAGAAACTAAATTCAGATGGGTTCTAGATGGCTGCAATAATCTGCTAATTGTATTGTATTTATT